AGGGTGCATACCCTTGTCAGAGAGACAGAGAGACAGAAAGCTAGAAATCACCCCCTGGGGGATGGCCATGCCGCAATCACTTCTCCATTCTCCTCTCGGGATCTTGGACACGCACGCACATGCACCCGGTACGCACACACACCCAGCTTGAGTTTAAGCCACCGGGTCCAGGACTCGAACTGCAGTTGACTACATGGGAGTCTAGGAACATAGCCAGTACACCAACTGCTGCTGGTCCCTAAAATTCACTCTTAAAAAGTGTCAACACACTAGGAGAAGGGATTGTGGCGTGGCCATCCCCCCTGGGGGGTGATTTCTCACTTTCTGTCTCTCTGTCTTTCTGGTGAGCACATGTGCTCTACAGCAAAAACTGCTCCCACCCCCCAAAAAAAGTGAGTTTTAAATAAACATAATTTGCTTATTACCAATTAGAAGTTTCCCAAACTGGATACACAGCTGAATTAAATGTATTATACATTTATCAAATTTATAGTATCTGTAATAATAGTGTATAACAAATGCAAAGGTAAAAACATTTGAGGGAGACAGAATGTATATATATTCTAATAAAAGGCTGACTGCTACCAGTAATAATTGGGAATAAGTAGGGGCTCTCTGGGAGGCAATGCCTCACTCTCTGTTCTAATCAGTCCCCAGTTACCTGAAGCTCCACTCCTTCCCAGTCTATCGATCATTGTTTATTTTTTTAAGAATGATTTTATTTAACTTTAATTTGACCAGAGAGGGACAGAGTGAGAGAGAAAGAGAAAGAGAGAGAAAGTGAGAAGGTAGCCTCCAGATCCGGGACTAGAATCATGGTTGGCCATGTGGGAGTCCAGCACCCTTAACCACCATGCCACCTGCAGGCCTGGTCATTGTTCCTGAAGATAAACCGTTACATTTTAAAAATCAAAGTATGAGGCCAGCAGGTGGTGAGGTGGTTAACGTGTTAGAGTTCACCTTGTTGAGTGTGGTTGGAATCCCATACCTGGCAGTTTGCTTTCCCTCTCTTTCTCTACCTCTTTCTGGTAAGTACATATGTCTTATGGCAAATTAAATAACAATCTCTGACTACCTCTTTCTGGTAAGTACATATGTCTTATAGCAAATTAAATAACAATAATTACATAATTCTTTAAAAAAAATCAAAGTATGGCTACATTTAATGAACACACAAATAACAGTATATAGTTCAATGGCTTGTGACATAGCTGTCAATCAGGATACAGAAAGTATCAAAGTGCCCTTTGCCCCTTTCTAGCCAATCTTCTTGTGAGATTAAAGGAAATCAAAATTTTGATTTCTATTTCCATACATTAGTTTGACCTTTGTTGTGATGGATCTCTTTTGTATCTGCCATCACTCAATGTTTTTGAGATCCACCCTTGTTGTAATGTGTATCAACAGTGTGTATCATTGAGTAGTGGTTCATTGTAGAAATATGTCACAATGTTTCCATTCTTCTATGGATGGACATTTGGGTTATTTTTGACTTTTGGATATATTGACTACACTATCCATTAGTTCTGACCAAATTAAGTTTCTTGTTCCCTAAGAGAATGTGAAATTTGAACTACTGTAAAAAACTTATTTATAAAATTGAACTGAATATAATTTTTAAAAAATAATTATTTATTATTTTATTTATTCATTCATTTATTTTTTAATTTGACCAGAGAGAGAGAGAGAAAGGGAGAAAGCAAGCCACCAGTTCTGAGACTCGACTTGAACCACGGTCAGTCATGTGAGAGTGTTCAGCACCTTAACTACCACGCCACCTGCTGGTCCCCAAACTGAGTATAATTTAATGCTTGTTTAAAGGCCTCTTCATAGAAGTAGCAATAAGTTCATTATAGTTTTAAAGAACAACTCCTCAGGGCTAGCAGGTGGCATGGTGGATAAAAGCTCTGGATTCCCACATGGCTGACCATGGTTCAAGTCCCAGCCTTGGCAGCTTGCTTTCCTCCGTTTGCTTTCTTCCGTTCTCTCTCTTTTGCTGGTCAAATTAAAAAATAATAACAAATGGAAATAAATAAATTTTTTTTAAAAAAAAGATATATACAACAGTTGCTTAACTATATAAATTGGGATTAGACTCTTTCAGTTTAGAAAGGCAAGAAGAGATGGTAGCATTATGGGGGTGTGTCCTCATTCATTTTCTTTTTAAGAACAGATTTACTGGAGGTATGACTGAAACCTGGTAGAAAATACCTGTATCTTGTGGGTAGATTTAACTTTCTGATGCTCAGGGACTTTGTTCTCATGCCAGTCTTTATTAGAACGGGCAGAAACTCAAACTTTATTATCATCCCCCTCTGAATAACAGTGTGAACACTGAGAAAAAGAAACTATAGTATAAAACTTTTATTTCTTTTTTGTAATTTATTTTACAACCTCATTAGAGCTGGAAAAGCTGAAAGCAAAGAGATAGAAAGGAATGGGTGGTATTCATATCAGAAGATGGGGGGGGGTAAAAAAAAAGAAAGGAATAGGTGGTACAGGTGTTGTGGTAAAATTTACATAACAAAAAATTTACCATGTCATCCATTTTTAATATATACTTAAGTAGCATTAAGTACATTCACATTGTTTAAACTTTAATTTCTTATACACCAGAATTTTTAAAATTTTATTTATTCATTCATTTATCTCAATTTGATCAGAGAGAGACACAGAGAGTGAGAGTGCACGAGAGAGAGATAGAGAGACAGAGAGAGAAAGTGAGAAAGCAAGCCACCAGGTCTGGGACTCAGAGCATGGTCAACTACGTGGGAGTATCTAGTACCTTAACCACTACCGGGTCTGAGACTCAAAACGTGGTCAACTGCATGAGAGTCCAGGATGTAACCATTATGCCATTTGTTGGTCCCCATATCATACTGTAGATTTTTTTTAACAATTAATTTTATTTATTTAAATTGGACCAGAGATAGAGAGGGAAGGCGAGAAAGCAAGCTGCCAGGTCTGGGATTTGAACTGCTGTCAGCCATGTGGGAGTCCAGCACCTTAACCACTACACCACCTGTCAGACCCCACGTGGTAATTTCTTAAATTGTACTTTTCAAAAGTAATGGCTAAGTTTCAAAAGAATTTTTTCTCCTTTTAAAAGGTTTATTCAAGATTAAGCCTCACTTTCTAGGCAATAACATTCTGTTACAATACAGATTTTTGCTTCTTGAGAAATGAGTATTCTATTTTTTTTTTATAATTGCTATAGCGTGTGTGCGCTCTCCAGAAAGAGAGAGAGAGACAGAGAGAAAGAAAGCCAGAAATCACCCCCCAAGGGGATGGCCATGCGGCAATCCCTTCTCCTCCATTCTCCTCTCGGGATCTTGGGCATGCATGCACATGCACCCAGCGTGAGTTTAAGCCACCAAGTCGGAGCTCAAACCCCAGTCGACTGGGAGTCCAGCGACATAGTCATTACACTAACTGCTGGTCCGAAGAAACGAGTATTCTCTTTTAGATAATGAGACTGTTATAGCTCATTATAATTTTTTTCCATTTTCACTTGGAAACACAATTCAAAGTTTAACTTTAATGTCAAATATATTCTCAGTTCCTGATATAAACATTTATCCATATATTTCATCTTCCTTTAATCATAAATTTTCTTATTTTATGAGTTGTACCTTGCTTCCATTTTTTTTTAAAGAGAGATTTTTGCTATAGGGTGCCTGTGCCCACTGGAGAGAGACAGTGAGACAGAAAGCAAGAAATTACCCCCCAGGGTGGATGGCCACCCACAATCCCTTCTCTTCCATTTTCCCCTGGATTTTTGGCACTTACACACATGCCCCTCATGAGTTTTAAGCTGCTGGGTCCCAGACTAGGATCGTGGTCACCCACGTGGGAGTCCAGCGAGGTAACCATTCTGCCATATGCTAGTCCCACGTCAAGTTCTTTTTAGGAAGTAGGCATTATGTAGGTTTTACAAGCACTCTGAACTTTTTGGCTCAGTCATAAATCATAGACTAAATACAGCTGAATTAGGTCTCAATTATAGAAACGTCTTTCTTAAATATTTTTAAGTACTTACAATATGCCAGGGCATTGTGCTACCTTTACTGTGATTATCTAGTACAACTCCATGAGGTAGGTATCCTTATCAACCACTTTACAGAAGTTCAAAGAAATGGAGACTAGTCTGCGATGTCATGAACGCCCTTTGCCTACTCCAGTCTGGCTCCTACCATCATGCACGTCGCCCCTCGAGCTGCACATTCTGTTCTACATACACGACTGGTGGTTTTTCTCTGAGACTCTGGGAGACTGTTCACTGCTAACCCCTGGATGACTTGGAACTCTTTTCACTGTCAACCGCTGGACGACTTGGAACCCTTATCTTCTTCTTTTAGAATTCATTTATATTTGACCAGAGACAAAAAGAGAGAGGGAAGGTGAGAGAGCCAGTCACTGGGTCCAAGATTTGCACCGCGCTACCACGTGGGAGTCCAGCGCCTTAACCTCCACGCCACCTGCCGGCCCCGGGAACCCCTACCTTCTAAAACTTGCTGTTCCACCGAGTCCTATCACGTTTCGCCCTTAGAGGAGACCTTGCCCACTAGGCGTCCCTCGACAGAACCCCTCCCACCCCCTGCAGTAACCCCACAGCGCCCCAGCCCCTCTGCTGCAGAGCCTGGCCCTGGCGGACCCTTGCCTCCCGCAGGGCCGCTTCTGACTCCGGGAACGTCCGCAGGTCCCGCCCCCTCAGGCCAGTGTCCCCCAGCAGGGCCGTCAGACCTCGGGATCTTCCAGCAAACTGCAGTTCAGTCCCCCCAGCACACAGCAATGACCCTCAGTAAACGGTGACAGGCCGCTAAACCACATCCCCTGCGACCGCCGAATCCAGGCACCTCCACCTTTCCTTCCCCTTCCCGCGTCCTCCCAAATCGTGCTTTTTCCTTCTATTTTCTTCTTTTCTGGTTTACATTCGCTCTCCTTAACTCCCCCGCCAAGTTAGGGATCGCTTTCCGTTCTTGAGTTACTTCGAAACTCACCCAACGCCAGTTTCCCCGGAGTCGCGTCCTAGACGTCCCGGCGTTCCGCAGATCTCCGCTAGGCACTGGCCCACTGGGCGCCGGGTCCGCCCCGCGGCCAGCCGCGCCCGAGGCCCCGCCCCTCCGCGCCTATTGGTCCCGGCTCGTGAGAAGTCCCGCCTCCCCCGCCTCCCTTGTTTTCATTCCCCCTGTCACACGAGGCAGGGGCGACCGCGGGGTGGGAGGGAGCAGTGGGCGGAGGGAAGGGTTGGGGGAGGGCGGAAAGTGAAAGGCACCGAGCGCCTCTCTGTCCCCAGTCTGCCTTGGCTCTCGACTGCTCCGGGCCGCCGTGGTATTGTGGGATCGCGGCGCCGTCGCCCAGGCGCCCGGGCCCGCTGGGGAGCCCACTCGAGAGCGCCTCCTGTCGTTCGTGAGGCTGCCCTGCCATCCCTCCGAACCCCGGCTCCCCCCGCCCCCCCATCGCCGCCTCCTCCACCCCCCAGTTCAACA